GCTCAAAACGGAGGAGAAATATTTTCAGTCTGTTGGCGTTCTATGTGCTGATTATAACTGAGATTGATATATGGATAAAATTTTGGACTTTTATCTTTTTTCAGTGTTTAAATTTTAGTACGAGATTACATGGTTTTTGCGGCATTTTGCCAGAATCAATTATTAGCCAATTAAGAATTGTGGGTATAAAGGCCTGGTCGCTTGCCGTGAAAAAGCCTAATTGGTTTTGTGCTCGAATGATATATGAAAAACCAATGTTCACATTTTAATAATTGCATTTTAGATCTCGAGTCTGCTTGATGAAATGTTTAATTTTTAAATTAAAATTATATTAAAATGAAGAAATGAATTATTTGCAGTATGATTAAAAGTATAATTGCAAAAGTTGAAACTCAATTTCGGAGGAAATTATACAATTGCTCAGAAAACGAACTAACGAAGGCCTTGTGTACATCGTTACATCTCGTTTCCGGGGCTAATTTCCACTTCCCGTCCAAACAAACACAGAAATTTGCCTGGGCACGAGATTGCTGGTTGTACCTCTTTAACATGAGAATAAGGCGTAGAAATGTGATATCAATCAGCTCAACAAGACTTTCCTCTTTCTTAAGACGAAGGACGATACCGGAGAAGCTTACTCAATTTCGGACAAATGATATTTGCGGGAACAGGAAGGAGCCCTTTTGATTACAATGGATATGGTTGTCATTGTGGGAAAGGTGGTCATGGGAAAGCATTGGATGATGTTGATAGGTATATAGTTTCTTGAAAAAGTCTTATTCCATTCAGATTTCATTGCTTAGGAATAAAGAATTGAGTTTTAAATTTTAAGATCTGTTCACACGATCCGATTTTGTTGGATTTCATACGTTGGAATTGAATGGGATGCGAGAAATTGGATCGTGTTATTATACATATTTAGGTTTTACAAAAATAAGTAGCCATATTATTAGTCATGTTATTCACTATCAGTTTGTCGTTTTGATAATTTATTTTGTTTTCCTGTGTTCAGGTGTTGTGAGACACACGACCGATGCTACAAAGAATTAAAAGATAGAAGAATATGCAGTGGTTGGGGAATTTATATTGTGCATTACAAAACCTCATCTCCCCTCGAGTGTGGTAAGAACACAGCCTACGTATCTTAAAAATTAAAGTATTTTTTCGACTGGTTGTACATAAACAACTAATATTTCCTATTTCTAGCGAAAACAAACACGGGATGTGGAAAAGGTTTGTGCGAATGCGATAGAGATGCTGTCCTCTGTTTCAAAGAGAAAAAATACAACAGGAAGTACAAAGAACTACAACAAACTCAGGTGTTACTTCTGAGTTGACGAATAGCCATATTTGTGATGTATCTAAATAAAGATGGTCAATAAATATATAATAGCTGCAGTTTCAGTTTCTCGTATTCTTGTCTCAGAAAAACCGCATGCCTCAATGTGTATGGGCTCCTACGCTTGTTTTCTTCGCTTAGGGGAGAGGGGGGCACACACCAAAACAGTGGGTAATTCAGTGATTTTCTCCGGGAGGAGAGGAGTATTCTCCCTTACTGTGCAACACTTACTGCTAATAATAATGTTGTAAGCCGTAAACAATGCTGGATACTTTTAGTAACTTCGGCTTGCGGTATTTGTTATTGTATTCTCGCGGCAGTGAGATTCATGTATAATTTATCATTAAAATTCCAGTGCAGACGAAATTCTGTTTTACAAAGTACACCATAACGGTAAGTCATAAAACCTTTCTATCAGTAACAATATTAATGCATTAGATTTCTTCACCTTTCTTTTCATCTGTTCCATTTCAGGCAAAATGAAGATTATCGTCTTTATCTTCATAATTTTAATTACACAGAACTGTTCTAACGCTGCTTACGCCACAGCAGGTATTGAAGACGATCGGTTTTTATTTGAGTGGGAAACAAATTCTTCGTAATTTCTGCTTTTTTCCGAGGATTAACGCCGGCATTTGCATCGACGAAATCTTTGCCACGATTTTATTACATACTAGTATTATATACTTAGTTTACTGTGAGAAAGAATCCAATCAACATCGATAGGGTTATCAGTGAGGAAAATGCTAACACTATATAAGCACGTATTACCATTCAAATGGGTCTATGCTGACATTAGGCTTATTCTTTCCTCACTTTTAAAGGGAGATTTAAAAGAGATTTACTGAGCTTTAACCACCTGATTCGCGTGATAACGAAACGAAATCCACTGGACTTCAATGGATATGGTTGTTATTGTGGGGCTGGTGGACATGGGCGCCCTGTGGATTTATTAGATAGGTACATATGTATCCTCCTGTTACCTTTTTCTAATCATTTAGCCTTGCTCGTGATTCTGACATCCAGCTATCATTTTATCTCTTTGTTCCTAAAGACTTTGGTTCAGTTCCTATTTCTGTTTATCAATGTTGGTGACGTATAGCCCAACTCGTTCCCTCGTTTTCTCTAAAAGCTCCACAAGATATCTCAAAGGAAAAATGCCGACTTTACTATTCCTTTATTTCTTTGGTTTACGTGCTAAGTATTCCCTCACACTGGCATTTGTAAACGCCGGTACACAGGCTAGTCCAGTGCAGTCGTTCCCTTCTTATCGATCAGCCCACCACCTCCTCTAATTCGCATTTCTAATTTCTAAATGCCTGAGCTGATTGCATCTCAGATTTGCCTCTCGCAAATATAGACCTCACTCCTTACTAGATGTTGCAAGAGTCATGACGAGTGTTATGGTAGATTAGGAGAAGGAGGAACATTCCAAAAAAAAGTGTGTGGATGGGGCATCTATTTCCGGTCCTACAAGCTGATAGGTTCACCTCCGACATGCCGTAAGTTTGTTTGATATTTGCCTTTATGCTTGTCAACTTGTTTTTATTGTGAAACTGTTAACCGAAAAGTGCTTTTATACAGTATATTCATTTATATTGTTCAACTCAAGGTTATGTAACTTGTGACGTCAAGCGCGGGAAGTCTGAGTTACACAAATTTTATTGGCTCGTATTGGCTCGTTAGTTTTATAGAGCCAATCAAACTTCGTGTTCCTGTAACATCAACTTCCGCGCTTCACCTCATTAGGAGAATCTTTATGAATAGACTAACTGTTATTTGCGTTTCCTTACTTATAGGAAAAGGAGGTTCAGCTTGCTCATATGGTCTCTGTAAATGTGACATATCGGCTGCATTTTGTTTTGCAAAACGTCCTTTTAATCCCAAGTATAAAAACTACAACAAGAAACGTTGTTAGTACGGGCACTATTATGGTACGACGGGTACGTCTGTTCTGTTCAAACGATCCTTTTTTTTCAGATCCAATTAACTTCTGACGTATGGAATGTAATCTGTTATTGATTAAGGAATACTGCGAGCCATTAAGAAGATTTGCTGCCCTTATGCATTACAAATCAACACATATAATCAAACATGCATCACAAATTAGTGAAATGGTTCGACTGAATTGAGTCGCGCGAACCACAGACTTTCAAGTGTTAATGTTCTAACGGTAAAAATTAAAATAAGATTTTACAGTTTATCTTTCCTTACATTAAGTACTAGAGACAATTCAGGTGGCCCAAGCAGATTTGTTAGGATTTCGTCTTCGTATTTATATAGAAATTGAAGCATTTTATACAATATTGAAATCTATGAACTCTTGAATTAAATGAATGATTGTGGATGTAATTGGTCCATTATCACTTTTCTCCCCTGAATGCACTGGATCTCATGGTAAATATATAAATTTTAGACTATTTTAAATAAACTTGGTAATAATATTAAAACCAGCTGGGGTTCCAGGTTTTTGATAACGCAAATAATAGAGTAACCTACTATTTTAAATGTTAGTATGCAAAGGTACCAGCATGTCATTGGTTTATTATGTTAGTAGAACTACAGTGGCAGAACTCATGTCTTCGAAATAAAATTCATGAAAGATTTAAGATGTAAATAGGCTGTTGACAGTTTCTAAGAGCCTTATGGACCATATTTGTTTTAAATTGCAGAATGTTTAAATTGGAGGGGCTATCTGTTACATTGTTGTAAATTTTTTTTGCAGTAAAGTACATTTTCTAAATTAAGTATTTCAATTAGTATAATCTGTTAGCATTCAACAATTTTTCATAGGGTTGTGCAATCACCCTCTCCCCTATTCTGCCACATCCTGCCCCCAGTAACACCAACTCTTTCCCCCTCTCTATCTATCGTCTTGTGGACCACTCATCCGCATGGTCTAACTCAACAAAAGTCAGTGTTGTTACTGGTGTTCCCGGCTTAAAATGGCCGTATTATTTTTTAAATGGACCACCATTGAAATTTGAAATGTATGTGAAAATGCTCTGTGTCTGGCTGATTAGAGTACCGAGTATAGCAGCAGTACCTAGAACAATTCATGCAAGAATGATAATGATCAATGACCTCCCACATTTTTGGCTGCCAAAATGATTGCAAAAGTCAGCTTTGATTAACATTAATAGTTATTTATAGAAAATTAAAATTTCACTGGGGGGTTCTATTTAGGACTTTCACACACACTCTCTGATATGCTTATCTCTGATACCCCCCCCCCACACACACACACACACACACACACACACTCTAATATGCTTATGTCAAACACAAATGAACAGTTAGCTTTACCACGAAATTCTACTCTGTAGAAGACCAGTCCACTGCAAATATTGTATTGACTATTTTGGCATTTCCCAGGCGAGGATTACGTACGTCATTACGACCGTACCATGCAGAGAGCGAATGAATTAAGCCCTCGACAATCGACATGTTTCCCGATGCGAGCTTGCGACAATCAACCCACAATCAATGCAAAGAAAACTTTTGCAAGCATTTCTAATAAAGTGCAAATGATATAGAAATTATCGAAGTAACCATGGAGAGCTTTTTAATTTTTCTGTTTGAAAGCAATAGACCGACACAAATGCAGATAAATTCTAAATTCTGGTTACGATATATGTATACAAGAAAGAAAGGGACAGTTTGGGAGACCATCTGTTCTACATCCAAACTGTTTCAGGCTTTCACTGCTGCGTTCAATTTTGAAGAATGAATAATTAATATTCCAGTCGGTGTATGAGTGAGTGTGAGTGGCCTGATTGCATCGGCTGATTGCATAATCTTTGTGTACCCAAAGGCCAAGTGAAGTGCTCACGCTGTCTTCATTCCGTTGTACATTGGGGGCAAATGTTAGCCCACAGAATCGATCGAAATTCAAATTTATTTTAAACTACATCAAGTATCATTGACGTACAAGCTTTCTCGCTCGATTGGTGGTTGTTATAAATTTCTTATCAATTAAATTCACGGTATGTTAGACTGAGTATCGCCACTTGTTTGTTAATCATTGAACGTTAATTTTGCACATCACTTCATATTTGTGATCAAGTACGGCTATTATAAGTCATTTTAAATATATACATGCAAGAAATTTTAGGTATAGACATATGGGTGTATTTGTACGACATACACCAGGCGATATGGCGTCGAAGAAGGCCGAATTAAAACAAACGAGATGATTTTTATAGAACGAAGTAGTTACTTAGCTTACTGGTATTAAAACTAAGCGAAGCGGTGAATTCGTTGCAGCTGGATTCTGGGGTATTGGAATGAGTCTTCGCCGACGAAAACAAAACAAACACGTGTTAAATATACTTTCAAAATAGATCAGTTTCATCGCTGCCAAAATATCACGTGTCTTTAGAATCAGTAGTGTTTAACAACAATGATTTCATTTCTTTCATTAAACTTTTATAAACTGTCAGAATCATGGCCGGTTATGTAATCAACTAATATTAGTTACCAATCATGAGCGCATATAAGTCGCCGCATATTCAATACGTCTAAACTCTAGGTGTGCGAGGGTAATATATTTTCTCTTGTGTGAAACCTGTATTATGCAGATTTTTCAAAGAGCAAAAGTAAACAAAGTAAGTGTTCCACTATAAAAGAAAACGTTGTGCATACTCGGTATTTGTTGAATGCATGGTTAGATATAGTAATAATATAATTAGTTTCATATCTTAGATTGTAGTTTGTGTTTCTCTAGTTATTTAATGTGATTTAAAAGCTATACATACCTTACATATGCTAAAAGTACTAAATAGCTACCTTTAAAATATTTCATCTATTTCTTACACGCACGACTGTGCATATTATTTATGCAACAAAAATAATTAGAACTGTAATGCCGAAATTTCTTTAACAGGCTCAGAAAATTTAGTCAAGATCATATTTATATACGAGTGTCTGTAAACAGAAATGTCCAAATTGGTCAAAATTACTCGATCAGCGCTTTTTCGCCGACTTTTTCCGTTCAAATATTTTGTTACATCATTGATGATGTAAGGAAAGGAGTATAGGATAACGTGTGGTCGCATTCACAATTTAGTTGGTACAAGTAGCTGACGCTGAGTTACTTAATTAAACAAAGTCTAGAAAACTTCTAGATAAAGACGAATTAAGTTAAGTTGCTGGTGGAAACTAAAACCCATGCTGTTAAGAGAGCATTTTTATCGAGTTCGTTGCAACATGCATCTTGCTGGGACTGAAAGACTCTGAAGCATTGAATCTATCGCTGCAAAGCAAAGTAGGAATATTTTGAAATATTTTTGCTATAGTTATTAATAACTAATTTTAGCTAAACTCTCAGAAATAGCAGATTTTGAATTACGCAGGTATGGCAAGAATAAATTTTGCTCTTCGTATCTGTTATATGAATGAACTAAATGTTGAGGACTTCTGTCCTCTGCTGGTTCACACTTCAGTGACATTTTTTAACAACTTTATTATACAATCAATATTACAACCTTTATCCTTTTCAATCTATAGCCAACACTAACTGCTACACCCAGTTTACATCAATTTTTATATACCTAATTAATTCCTTCAACATAATGTTCAATCTTATTTCGTATTAACTTTTGACATTGGACCATAGGTCCATAGATTGGACGACACCTAACATTCCACAGCACATGGCATTTACAGCACATAACATTGCACAGCACGTGACATTTACATCACAAAACATTACGCAACAGTTATATACATAATGATAAGATAGAATATCTAAATCACTTAGTTTATAACTTTTGGTTTCAACTTTACTAACCTAAAGTATTAATAACAGCCAGCATCTTTAGCTTTTCTTAAAGATACGTCCCTACCTGTGGCCTCTGTTGGCCTTCATTATCACTTGGTTTATAACTTTAGGTTTCAACTTTACTAACCTAAAGTATTATTAGCAACATCACTTAGCTTTTTTTTAAAGTTATGTCCATGCGTCCATGCGCGTGATCTAAGTAATATACACTCCAGTTACTCCTCTCATTATCGAGATCATCACAGGCGATTTCTATATATCGCCCCCGTACGGACTGCAGGCTACTTCGGTATTCGAGTGATGTTACTTTATTATTTGTCCATAGTTTGTACGCACTGAATTTAGGATAACATCAGCCCATTCCATTTATAAGAATTGAAGACAAGAATCTTCTCGAGCAATGTTCCTCGAGGTTCGTGTGTGAGTCTAAAGGTCGACACAGACCGGACGCGAATTGGCAACGCGGCGCGAATTTTCAACGTTTTTAATTTTTCAAAATCAAATAAATTTTAAACTATCATAATATTCTTGTAGATTACATAACAATAAAACATTTTGACTCCTCTGTCGTCCATAATTTTCAAATTTTACTTCCAGAATTTAATTTATATGCTTCTGAAAACTCAAAATTCGCGTCGCGTTGCCGCATCGCGTCCGGTCTGTGTCGGCCTTAAGGACAGATTTCCACTGTTGCGTTTTTTGTTAAAAATATTTCATTCAAACGTTAATTAATTGTAGAACAACTTAAAGGTTTTAAACCTTTACGCGTAACTTTTACCGTGAAAGCGGGGGTGTTTGTATATGTAGGACAACGAGACAGATGTTTTTCTGTCAATTTCACACCGAATTTCGGCCAATTCCTTACTATTTTCATATTTGCCCACGCTATATGTATATTCAAGCGAGGCTTCCTTTTATTATGTCATCAAATATTCATTTATCGTATTCAGACATCTAGAATCATTTGTATCGTAGTCGGAGTGAGTATACAATTGTAAGTTAAATATCTACTTTTAATACCTTAAGGGATTTAAATAAAAGATCTCAAACCTTAGCGATCTGTACACAATAATATTATATACCTACTGTGTACTTTCTACGTCTAGAAGTTCAACTGAAGTTCGCGATTTCCGACGCCAAGGGTCGAAGTTTAAGTCAGTATTATATCCTCTTAATTTCGTTTCTATTTACTTCTGACTCCTATAATAATATCCTACTCTTTCCGTTATATCCTGTTCTTTCATCCTGCTTAATCCAAATCTATCCAAAATTGCCTATTCTACACTCCTATTTCACTAAAATTCCCAATACTAAATCATTCTTTGTTTTATTTTAGAAAGATGGAAGGTTTTCAGCATACAAGGGGCAGTGAAACAGGCTTTACAAATGGCTACCACAGTCATTGCGACAACGCGGGCACCAATGGCATATCCCATTGGGAACATGTCTTAGTGACGGGCGGTGCAGGCTACCTAGGCAGCACGTTGGTCCCACTGTTGCTAGGTAGCGGGTATCACGTCACCGTGTACGACTCGTTCCGGTGGGGAGCCAGCTCGCTGCTGCATTTAGCCGACAATCCGCACCTCAGGATTGTTCGTGGGGATGTATTGGACCGGGCTCATCTCAAGAAGAACATACAAAAGTGTGACGCGGTCGTTCATCTCGCCGCTATTGTGGGATACCCGGCATGTGAGCGCTCTCCGGAGCTGGCAAAGCAGGTCAACGAGCAAGGCACAAGAAACGTCGTGGAGCTCATGGAGACAGATCAGAAGCTGATCTATGCATCTACTGGATCCTGTTATGGTGCTGTTGTCGATGGTCTCTGCACCGAAGACACGCCAATCAGTCCGCTCACCTTGTATGGAAGCACTAAAGCGAGTGGCGAGAGTGTGGCTTTACAGGCTGGAGCCGTTTGTTTACGTCTTGCAACCGTGTTTGGCGTTGCCCCACGACTACGCTTGGACCTGCTTGTAAACGATCTTACAAACAAAGCCCTGACGTTGAAGCATTTTGATGTTTACGAAGGGCATTTCCGTCGCACTTTTTTGCACGTTAAAGACGCTGCTCGAGCTTTTCTTTTCGCTTTGAAGAACTTTAAACGAATGAGAAACGATGTCTTTAATGTCGGTGACGAATGCATGAACATGTCGAAAATTGACGTCGCTCATGTCATTCAAACTCGCGTGAAAAACTGCAAGATTACGAAGTCATCGAACGGCCAGGATAAAGACAAGAGGAACTATGAGGTTTCCTATGAGAAGATAAGGCGTCTTGGTTATCAATCGACGATAAGTGTCGAGGAAGGTGTGGATGAACTACTGAAAGTTTTACCGTGTTTATCAGAGGATGAGATTTCCCGCGCTAGAAATGTCTCCAACTGAAACTGGCCTAAAAATGAAAAGTAGGATTTAGCATAATAGTACAATTTATTATTATTATGTATTAACATACTATAATGAATTGTTTATAAATTCAAGCTAATAAAAAGTATGCTATACATTAAATTTAGATTAATATTATTGCTAAACATTAAAAAACAATGTCAATGACCAAAATGTTAAACGTTCTCTCTGAATTTTATTTTACTGAACTCCATGTTCAAGGTTATTTGGGAATAAATGTTACTGTACATTTGTGACATGCATATGATATGATGGTTCCTGATAGTATTGTGTTTTAATATAATCATAATTTTATTGTTGTGCCTACTTTTTTATTGAATTAAAAACAATATGATCACACAAGCCTTTTTTGTGGGATTGTCGAAAAAATGAACACTTGTTTGAATAAATATAGTCTTAAAGCCATCCATTCATGAAAGCACGGCTTCTCAGAAAAGGACTTTATGAGAAAATGGTCCACTCATGACTCACTTAATATATAATATATAATATGTTCTTTTAGGAAAAAATTGTCTTTTCCATATTATGTGAAACGTAATATACATAATGACATAATGTGAAACGTAACATGAAGTATTGTGTAGGCCATCCAAGATGGCAGGTTGTGGACATGGTCGATGTGAACATGACCACACTCATGGTATCGGGGAAGAAAAAGGATTTGAGTATTCATTGTATAAAAAAATAGATTTCACCCACCTTGAAGTTCTGAACGAAGCTGAAGAAGGCTCTGGTAAATCTGTCTTTAAACCATGGGAAGAAAGACTCGATTCTAACAAGGTTTCAAATAGAATATATAAGATTATGAATATAGAATATTAAATTCAGCTCACAATAATTCACTATTCCAGGCAAACTTGACCGTATGATGTAGATTTGTGGCAGGTTTAGACGTGTAAAAATAATTTCCACAAGCAACAGAGGCTGCTTTTGCCTTTATGTCAGGATACTGAGTTAGGTTATTTTGATATATTAATTATGAGTTTCATTTATGCCTATAGTTTGTTGAAAGTGACGTGGATCAGGAGCTGCTATTTAATATACCGTATGTAGAACTCAACAATATAAGCTGTTATTTTGCTGAAGATCTGTGGCAATAAGACAAGGGGCAATAAAATTAAGTAATAATATATTTCCATGTAAATATAGAATCATATCACATAGATGTATTAACGGTTAACCCTGCTTTAGGTTCACTGGTAATGTGAAATTAAAGGGGGTTATTCTAGTCGGTGGGGAAGGTGATTTTCATCCTAGAGTTATGAAACTGTAAGTGTTCCATGGTACATCAGTTTTGTATTTACATAGCCTAGCAATATTAAATATTCAGTGTTGATTGGGGCTAGGCGTTAGTTAGAACTGAGACAAAGTCGATTGACATGTTTTCAGTTTCAAAAACAAACCACATATGACATTTGATGAGACAGAAATTGAGCCGGATCAAGTGTTTGAACTAGTAGAAGACTTGAATGGCACAGTAGAGTACAATACAAAGTGAGTACCCGTACTTAAATATATTGAAGTTGCATGTGGATCTTTCACATGAGACAATTGTGCAAAATGCAAATTTGATTTGGGTTGACATGTACGTGACTGACATGAGATTGTATTTTTTGTCATAGAGTGCCACGATTTTCCAGTGTGCAATGTTTATCAATATATTTTCCAAGTAATTTTGGAGCAGAGACAACCAAAGTTACATACATTGGGCTTAGAGGAGAATTTCAAGAGGTATTACTATTGTCTCTCCTAGTTTTGTGTGAACATTTTCAGCATTTTCCATGCTAATGCAAATTTATCAATGCCACAGCTAACAACAGTTTCCAATTCATTGAGCACAAGTGTGTGACCATTGTGTACGTGTACCCCACAGGACAAATAAATTAGGGTCACAGCTATATTTTCGGTCAATTTCTCGGAACAATCACCAACCCTATATTTCTTGGATTTCCAAGGCTCGACGGCACGAGGTGACCATCTGTAATTACGAAGCCAGAGCAAATCCTGCAGATCATAAGACAAACTTTTTAGACACGGTCAACCATGCAGTATCATGATATGTGCTGTGCATTGGTGAACATTGTTCACTGACAGTACGAAGGTGTTATTGAGAGATGCGTTGTATCTTTGATTTCACGAAATCCCTGTGTTGTATCAAGATTTATAAATGAAGAGATCTTGTAGTAGTTGCCTGCAGTCAATCTCTTACCCGGCTGAAGGCTCGTTTAATTTTGGGAAAATTTTTTAACACCACTCGTAATATTAATCCCAGATCGAACTCGCCATTGTACGATATCTTACCGCTTGAAATGAAAGTGTACATTAAATATAAAAATCACGTAATGATCATGATTGTGAAATGTTGTATAACAATTTTTGTTTTCCTGTTGCGATTTATTTTGACTGTGTGCAGATGGCGTGCAAATGACATAAATTTATTGCTGGCTTTTTCCATTGTAATTTATGAATGCATATTTGGAAATGCATTCATTAAACGGAACATTTCATGATTAATCTTGTCCGAGATAATCGTGAAATTGGCACTTTTCAAACATTGCGAATCCCGTCGTATGATCCTCGTACATATTAAAAATTCAAATTTCTCTTCATCGTTGATTTCTTGGGTCACGTAGATAGGAAATTGCGTATATCGAGTTACACCAAAGTAAGAATTTCGTAGCCGACAAAAAAAATGATTTTCCTGGTCAGTCCAACAAATATTTATCATGTTAGCGTGCCAACTGTGTCGATGCCTTCTTAAACGAAGTACCACCTTATAAACAGGTATATATATGCCATATGATAGATTGCCTGTGGGGATATTTATGTATTTTTATCACAACGGAAATTCGAATGAAAATATAAGTAGTATCTGTTTGTAAATTCACAGCAGCGTGGTAACATAGTTGGTGGTATATTTTATCCTTTTCTTACATCATTATAATGATGGGTTATGTCTATAGAGTATATTAGTGACAAATAATGTCAAATCCGGTTCTTTCATGAAAACAATCGATCATACATACGTCCGTTCTACATGGCCAACGACAAGGAAGTATTATTTTCCATAGTCATAACAGACAGAATATTCTATATCAGTCAATGAAATCCGAGAAAGATTGAGATGAATTACAGCATACTCGAAGTTCCTAGGTTTTAATTCAAGGTCCTGCTACTTGGATAATTTAGTCTGAAGTCGCAAATAACTGCTATAGCCTATATATACAATTGCTACCGGCGTATGAATTACTTGCAAGGTTGATCGCAATACCATAAAGCTTGGTCTTTTTAACTTTCACTTAAGCATTAATGCGTGCAAATTGGCACGCAAAATTCAACACTTTTGAACTTTACTTATCGAATGACTGCAGAATAAAATTACATGTATATTTTTTCCATCCAACGAAGAACCGTTGCTTGGCAGAAGAATTTGGTATAAATGGCTGGCTTTCTCTTTCTCACTATTTTTGGTGTCAGCTTTCTGTGGTTGCCTGGCGAAGGTATGAGTTTTCTGGTGTTGTCCAAAACTGGCATGGGTCATGATTTTGTTGCTGCAAATATTGACCTTGTTTGCCACCGAAATCAACGACTCGAGTCTCAATGTTTAAAACAGATATAGCCTCGTCTGCAAGCAAAATCATAAATATATTCTGCTTTTTAGGGCAACTACAAGCCCCTTCAGCTGGTAGCACTTTGGTATTTACAAATGGATCAACTGCAAAGATTACCTGGCCGTATAAAGCTGATATATCTAAATTGAATTTTCGGAGTTGGTCCTTCATCAGCAGTAAAACGAAAAAGTTGGAAACGCTGGCAACTATAGTGGGGAATGGTACGAGCGTTACGAAATCTGCGAGTAGCTTGCACGATTTTGAGATTGAAACGCCCACCACCTTGATCCTGAAGAATATCGATGTCACTTACGACGGAACATACCAGTTTGTCCTAACACCCAGTCGCGATGCTGTATCTAACGTTGTCGTTTATATCGCAGGCAAGTTTCCCTATAATTTGTAAAACAAGATTCGCACGCCGGAATTCATTTCATCTCACTTTTGGGCAATAAAAGGTTTTTATGGACGGAGGAGCATGTTAGGCTCGTGTCAGACACACGTAGAAGCATGCAGGGCCGTCCTCAGGATATTTTACAGGGGGGGAGTGTAAGGCCATCTAAACCGACTGATCGACGGGCTTGTACCGACTGTACTCCGGATGAAACTTTGTCAAGTTTATATTGGATCGGTCTATACTCCATAGTGTCAAAAATATTTTTGTCTGCCGACTAAAATAGCAATTTTACCGACTGAGCCTCAGAATAAACTTTTTGGGGGTGTGTGACACTCCCTTAAACCCCCCCCCCCCCGTGGCTCCGGGCCTAGAAGCATGCATGTTAGGCTCACAGAATACCACTGTGAGTGACAGTTTCGGTTTCCAATACCAAATATGCCTGTTCTTTCCAGTACACGTACATTAACTACATTCATATATAATTTATATAACATTCATATTCTATCGCAGAATTGCATTGAATTTTGCTTTCGTTCTTAGACTTTTCGTCTATTTTAACCCACTTGAGCTAACGATCTCACTGCATTTCAGAAAAACCAACCGTGAATTTAAACTGTTCCAGTTCAATCATCGTAAATGCAGGAGACAATGTCAGATGTGTCTGCAGCGGAGAAAATGGAAACCCATCACCAAATGTTGCTTGGTATAAAGACGATATACGAATTGGCGACTTCCAACTCAAACAAAATTTGCTCACCATTATTAATGTCCGTGAAAAAGACAGTGGGACTTATAAATGCGTCGCCCAAAGTCACGTCAATGTAACAGATGAAAAATCAATCAAAGTTGTGTTAAAAGGTAATTATAATAAGATTTAGATTTTGAGATTGAGAAAAAAATGGAGAAAAAACTCCAGTTTACATAATTCAGTTGCGGTTCTGTTGTTATATTCATTCTTAAGATCTGTTCACACGATCCAATTCAGTTGTATCCATTTTACTTCTGATGGATGTTTTATAGTCTGTTGCCTTGCAATGTATATCAGCAGCAAATCCACTGATCACAGCCAATGCAAGCCAATGCACTACAGCTTTATCATTTATCAATAGCCGACTATATTCCATACGTCAGAAGTGAATTGGATCCAACAAAATTGGTTCGTGTGAACAGACCTTTGTTTCAATTTTCAGGTCACAACAATTCACAGCAAAAGTCGTATAATGACAGTCGGACTATTTGGTATATTCTGGTTGTTTCACTTGTATTTCTCGGTGTCGTTATTGGGTATATCTCTTTGTTGATAATGTTCTGTAAACTTCGACGACAGTTCAAAGCTGTAGACAGCGGGAGCGAACTGAATATTCATAGAAAACGTAACGGCACAGATGTCTTACGATCGGGCGTTGTTAATAGTTTACGAAATGTCGGTGGAAGTTTCGATGCTTACGCAAGGATGACTTGATCTAAACAGCGATAGCTTCAAACCCTGTTGGTGAAAGGCAAGAAGCGCGCCCCCCCAGCCTATCCCTAGTTTCAGCGTCACTGGGCCGGAAGAGTAAAGTTCCAGTGTTCTTGGAACTTTGTATATACTTCACTAAAAACTAGGAGAACGAGGGCTGTATTTGTGTATATTAGTGTGAATGATGTCAAGATGGATTTCTTGGAAGAGTGCACATGCTTACACCTGCCCTCAAAGAATTCTGAAGAAAATTAAAATAGTTATCAATTTGAATGACCGCATAATTAAACATGCCGTAATTCTAAGAATCATCATATATTTCTTCCCTTTATATAAAAACTGCCAAATAATTGACCACGATTTAATTAAAGACATGTTGATTCTAACCTCTTCTGACCTCTGATTCTCACCACTAACCACATCGCTGTAGACGTAGTTTATTTGGCATATCTGCATATCAAATTATCACTAGTAGAATCAAAGATTAGGCAAGTGGGTTCGATTTTTATCCCCAAATGATTTTTGTACTATGAATTTTGTATGGTTTTTTCTTGCTAATATTCTTGCGAAATATATATAACTCTAGTCTAGTGCATAATTATGGCATTGGCGGTGACAATGAATATAGGAATAAACGAGACAACTGCAAGGCTAGGTTCAAGTGTCTTTAAGGCGAATAACAAAACATTGAAAAAAAATTACGATTGCAGAAAGACTGCAGAACAAAATGTGAACAACTTGTGCTAGAGTTAAAGTTCATAAATAGCAAAACTCAAGTGGTCGCATCCTGCATGCATAAGAATTTGAGAGTGCATGTACATTCCAAAATCGAGTACGTCACAGACGAAATCGAGGTGATATCAATTGGGATTTTAGCCTGTTTTCTTCTCCTGTCGCTTATGCATTTTCCTAAACTAAATGCAAAACCACGCGGGAAACCGCGCGAGTCAGAATGATATATTATATATATTCGAATCAAAACAGAAAGTGAAAGAAGCTTAGATCATATAAACGAGAATTGATAAATATTGGTCATTGTTACGTTTGGTGGACCTCGTGGGAGTATTAATAAACTACTTCGAAGTACCAGGTATATACTTCAATATACAGCTATTGGTTTTGTATTGCACTTAATTGTCTGTGATTGAAGCGTATTTGAATTTGCATCAGCATATTATGACTATTTCTTTCATTTCCTTGAATGAAAGAAATAGTAGAATAATAGATTTCCTTCCTATCTATACTTTCACCGAATGGCCATTGTGAAGAGTATTTCATAACGAGCTCAGACTAAATAATTTAGACACGGCTAAGCGAGGACTTTTGTCTTTTGATCTAGCAAAGTGGTTTATGTGTATATGATCTAAGTCAACTTGTTATGCGAAGTGTTTGCAAACTTTGCATTTTAATTTCTGTCAATATGTGTTATAATGCCATTAGACATATGCTCAACCATAGAATTCTAGTACCCTTCAATTCTAACGCATATATTGCCACAGATTTATTTGCTAAACCGACGAAAAACGGTCGAATTGTGTGCGATTTTGCTGCGACTCAGCCGACTCAGACTGTGGTGAACAAAATGGAAATTGAACAGGATTATTGAATTCTTGGTGTCGTGTTTGAGAAGTACTGAATTTCCCCAGCTTCTATATGCTGTAGTTATGAATTAACACATATAAAACACGAAAGTTTGTACTGTTATTGCGAAAAGTAGAAATTTTCCAGGAATACTGTGTCTGTGTTATTTGTTGCGATCCACCTTTTGTTTGACCCAGAGACGCAGGCTGATACAATATGAGAAGGCATAATTGAGTTCAAGTGAGTTTGAGCAGTATGTCACCGTGAAAATGTCATGTGTGGTGTTTTTGAAAAGGATATGAAATATGGCATAAAGCGATTACAAATTGGGAGTGTCAAAATTGTATGGAGACGATGGACGATCATGCAAGAAGAAGTGCTCCGGCCAAGATTCTTAATAATTAATATTTTATTATATGTATTATACCGGATAAACATATTGTATTTTCACTTCTTTTTTAGTTTGAACTGTTCACGTAATGGCAAACTTCATCTTCGGAATTACCGCCTTAATTGTTCTAAATGTTCTAATAGCTTCGTGCAAAGGTATATTCTCTCGAGATATGAATCATGAATGTGGTAAATGTTTTTGAAGGCAAAGCAATTCTCTTAACACTGATGTTGCCTAATTTGGCTTACAACGCTTGACGTGATTTTAATAATTAATAACCTATACTATAGCGGCCTTCGCTCAAATCAAAACTGACGTTATATGCAACATTTATATTATCCTTTCTCAGTCTTCTTTTAAGAGTTATGAGTTGGGAAGGGCGGACCTTCACTGGCGGGCGAAAAGCTCTCACTGCCACTGGGGGGGTTAAGAAAGAGCTAGCCGCGGTTTTGCTCCCCTGAATTTAGCTTTCGCCAAAAACGCCAAAGATTAAAGGGTAATGTTTTTGAAATAACGCGTCCTAACTATCTTTTTAGACTTTTGTTTTGCGTTCTGTTTAGGCAAATTAAGTCCACCACTCGACGGCGACAACTTGGTTTTCGTAAATGGATCCACAGCAAAAATACAGTGGTCAGTCAGCGATGGCTTATCAGAAGAGCAGTTTCGTTATTGGGCCTTTTCAAGCGGCGACGGGTCGGAAAATGCTGTAGAACTAGCGAGAATAGTTGATGATGGCGTTGTCGTGAATCAAAACAGCCCGCTTGACTTTGAAATAGAAAAGCCAGCGACGTTAGTGTTAAAAAACGTCAGTCAAAATTATAATGGAGAGTTCAGATTTATACTTGTTACATCTGAAGACTGTGGTCAGTCGGACGTGCTGGTTCGTATTGCAGGTAAACTGACACGCAGGCTTTCACCTAACAACATAATATAAAACAGAAATCTAACAAACTATATCGTTCAGTTCAGAGGTGTGTGCCATGTTAAAGTTTTACAATCATGCACATATTAATTAGTAGAATTTATACTATTAAGTAGTCTGAAAAATATCTGCATTTCTGCTCTAATTCTAAATGTGTGTTAATTAAAAATGAAAAAAAAAAGATTTTTAAATTTTTTTGGGACAATCAGTCATTTTATTATGTTCTAGTTTTACCAACAGTGACTGTCAGCTGTTCCAGCCAGGTCATTGCAAAAGAAGGTGATAATATCACGTGTGTTTGTACGGAACAAGGCAGCAATCCTCCAGCCACTCTGACTTGGTATAAAGATGGCAAACAGATTACTGACCAACAAAAGGAAAGACAAACATTGAGTCTCAGTAATATTGAAAGAGACGACAATGGAACGTACAGATGTGAAGCCAAACACCTCGTCAGTGATGAAGAAGAATCCATAGAAATAATAGTTCAGTGTAAGCATAAACAACTTCAATATGTTTAACTACCTGAAATTCTCTCTGCAAAGTATAGTCATATAACTATAGTAGAACTTTTTTGCCACCCACAATGCAGATAAACCTACCAATACTACCATTACGATTGAACCAGCAACAGTTTCAGTTGGTGGAACGGTTACCATCACATGCGAATCCTATGCTCACCCTGAACCAGTATTTACCATAGAGAAAAATGGTACCAATGTTGTCTTTACAAGCAAGGAACATACCATTCGTGATGTGAACAAACGCGACGCAGCAACATACAGATGCGTAGCAGAGAATAAACATGGAATGGACTCAAAATCTGCTTCTTTGGCTCTTGCAGGTAAAACACTGAAACATGGGATTCATTTGATCATCTTTGTTCTAATAACAACTGGATATAGCGACCATACACCCATTTACATGCACCAATCATTGCTAACCATTGTGTTATTAGCTAGTAATGGACTTCGATTCCATTGTAAATATCATATTATGTAGAATAAAAGATATATCAGTAAATATTATTATCCATTACGCGACTACAAGTTATATTGCACAAGAGACTAATACCAGAAATTTGGTTTCAGATAGACAAATTCAACCGGCCGCCGAAGACAAAGTTCGCATGGTTTATATTATTATACCGTCAGTGATAGGTTTCTTGTTTGTTGCAATCTGTTGTATCATTTATTATCTTCGTCGATCTGGGAGATGTATTTGGGGGAGGAAAAAGGACAAAGATGATCGTCAAAGAGGACAGCCCGGTAAATCAACGAAGTATATTCACAAATTTTAGCCCCACAAGAATTAACATATAAATTAGTTGAAGCCATTCAGAGTAGAAGTAAGTCTGCATAATCTGAAAGTACATCATTTTAGATCTGCAATTTCGAGTCAGTCGATTCATCTCCAGCTAAGGAAACTACCAGCTGATGAATGTTTCGAGACCTAAAAAAGTTTAAGTTCACTAGGTCATTGACACATTGTTGATAGAACATTGGACTAAGTCAGCCAAAAGGCTCGGGTTCGAATCCGACTATGGGAACACAGGGTAGTACCATCACAATATTAATTCACGTAAGTCATACACACGCAGTCATGATTTCAAAACATATAGCCAAGTTATGTGGGATCTTTCATATTTTTGATATAAAGCCTAAAAGAACTTAGAGGTTTGTTGAGAGCATGCTGCAAATGATAGAAATATTTCATGGAGAAATATTGCTACGTAAGACCAACTGAATATTTAACCATTCGATTTGATCTTACATGCAGGCGTGGGTGAATACGAAGTCCCACAAGCTCCTTTAAACGAAGATTACGAACTCGTGGAGCGGCGAAACGAACCGGAACCGCGAAACGAACGAGAACCGCGAAACGAACGAGAACCGCGAAACGAACCAGAACCTGGACCAGAAATACCTGCTGCACCCGACCCCGCCTACGCGTCTTTGAGCCGAAGAAGAGACCCTGATAACCCTTATGAATCACTCTTAGCCAGGAACGAGGGCCGGTCTTGATTGTTCATAACCGATGATCTCTACATGCAAGATGGACTGATCAACAAAATGATGATTATGTGGATGGTTATGCTGATTATATAAATAATAAATAAATACTGGTATTAACTATTGTGCCTTGTAAAGATTTTATCGTTCTTATATTATCGTTCTCTCCATGACTTCTTTCTATCATTGAGGATCCTTCAGCACTGTTTTATTATTGTCAACCCTCACGGCTTACCATCCGAGAAAGGATGTAGCTAGTGACCGATGCGCTTCCTAACAGATTTTGTTTCGACCCTGCGTTGCAGACTTGTTGATTATTAAAAAATCATATTTCTCACACTTCAATAACGAGAGTCACACCATATCTATGAACGACACATTGATCCCCCATTTAAAAACATGGCGGTCGATGGTAACACCACTGTCGCGTCGGAGTGTTGGGTTGATTTGCATACTAATTACATTCAATACAAAATTTTTTAATTGAAAGCGAAAGAAGCTTACGTATCATAAACGAAAGGATAACAAGGATAAAGGCGAAAACTGATAAATATTGTCCGTTTGTTGGATCACACAGCCACACAGGAGCATACTACTTCAGGTACTGTTACTATCGTATATCGCATAGCTATCGAATACAGACTATACTTGTTAGTTGTTATGATGATAGTATTTTGCTATCGACTATATCCATGTAATCGAGCCTATGGCTATGTTGATAACACCGACTTGACATATCAGTGTTTCAGCATATTTCATGCCCTGTTTTAACTGGCAATTCACTGGCTATTGTAACTAACGAATGTTCTAACACAAGTTCAGACTAAAGATCATAATTAGACAGTTGGCAAATCTTGCTTTATATTTTATCAATGGGGTCAGTTTATTATATAGACTACGGTCGTCATGCAAACGAGACTTGTTTAATAGCGCGCTAGCACGTTCGCGGTGTGACTCAGTCTATGATGACATTATACGCTCGTGCATACATCTCAATAAAATTTATGCCACATATTTGCCCAACCGGGCATATACAGACAGATAAAGGTACTGACACTGCTTCTCAAATATTATAAACAGTAGCCTTCAGACGCCATTTTTAATGCTTGACAAAGATATCGATCCCGTGATTAAAATAATTAAATAAACCGAAATTAAACTGCAACGGCATCTCTAATTGAGAAATATTATTTTTCAAGCCGTTGTATACAGGCCAATATATGCCGTGCCTGTAGTAATGGTTCCAAGACAAGGCGTAGTGGTACTAATATATTTGCATTTGATGATCGTCTGCGATTCGAATATAGCCTATATTTATAGGTGAGACGCTTGTTAACTTTCACTGCATTGATAATGCCAAGGATATCTTGCCTTGGCTTAAATTACTTATGTAATTCTTAACAAAGACGCTCTACATATTTGCGTAGATAAGAAAGCGTGTTATAATAAGCAAATGAAAATACCGCCAGCGTCTTCGAAACATCACGATTGATACGCGGTGTATTTAATATGTTCATGCAGAGATATTGTTTTAGGTATCATAATAGAATACTTGATATCAATGCCAATGCAAAATTGATTGTTTAAATTGCTCAAGTAATTGTTTGGCATGCTAAAAATGCACGATAAAGTTTGTCTTTGTGTGAAATGCCGAAAATCCTCTTCAAGTGAAAGCGTGGGAACTGAAAGTAATCTCAATGCAGACGAGAACTCAGCTAGAATTTCAGTTGAAATTACCGTAAAACAGGATGTGAAATATGATCTGATCTATATCGCAAGTACAAATTAGGCGTGTCACTGAGAATTGTCGAAGAAAGATTTCGAAAATGTTTGGAGTAGTGATTTCAACGTTTTATTACATTATTATTATAATTATATCATTGCATTTTCATCTTCATCTTCAGATCAAAGGCTTACAAAATGGCAAACTTCATCTTTGGTATAACTGGACTATTCGTTCTTAATTTTCTATCAGCTTCAAGCGAAGGTATAAAACGTTACATATCATATATTTTTTGTTATTATCATATATTTATGGTTATTTACTTAAACCATTCACATTTTGTAAAAAGTTGATCCAAGACGCTGCCACACGGCTCCTCGGTTATTTGGAAATGTATCCCCACAGTCTGGGGATAACCCCCCCCGGTAAGAATGTATCACCAAAGCCTTAGCTGCGTTTTCGTTTTCTAAGGTCCCATAAATTCTGTGGGGGGAAATTGCTATTTTGTTCAAACAACTTCTACGATACAACTTGTTTAGCTTGTTGCTATAGTGCAGCTAGAATGTCGAACATATTTACTTAACCATGCCACGGTCTTTTCGTTTCGCTCAAATCCGGTGTGGAATATGCAAGCTTCATGTATCCTTTTCAGTTTTTGATTAGCGAAAAGTGCAAGAGATTTTTAAAATGTTTCCACATTCTTACTTATCTTTCATCTGCTTTCAATAGGAGCACAAATACGTCTACCACGTGATGGCAACAGGCTGATTTTCGTAAACGGATCAACGGCCGAACTGGAGTGGTCGTTCGACGACAATGTGACGAACGTGCGTTTTCGGTCTTGGTCGTTTACTAGCGGTAACGGCTCGATGAAGGCCGTAGAACTAGCGACAATAATTGATGACGGTACCGTCCAGAACAGAAGCAACGCGTTCGACTTCAAAATAGAAAAGCCAGCGACTTTAGTTTTGAATAACGTTAGTCAGATTCAAAATGGAACGTACAAATTTATACTCGTAACATCTGATGGATGCGGTCAGTCTGATATTGTAGTTCTTATTGCAGGTAAACAGGTAGTTTTTAGTTTTCTAGAATCTAGTCATGTGTGAATTACCCTTATTCATTGATGTGTTCCATGCGGGGTACTGAAGCATTCCAATTCTAACAATAGACTGTTTTAATTTTCTCTTGGACAACCAGTTGCACGATTTTGTTACGTTTCAGTGAAGCCAACGGTGACTGTCAGCTGTTCCAGCCAGGTCATTGTAAATGAAGGTGATAATTTCACGTGTGTTTGTACGGAACAAGGTAGCAATCCTCCAGCCACTGTGATTTGGTATAAGAACAACAAAAATATTAGTGAGCAAGGAAAGGAGAGACAAGCTTTGAGTTTTCATAATGTCATGAGAAAGGACGCTGGAACGTACGAATGTGTAGCCAAAAGTCACTTAACTGACAGAAAATCAATCGAAATAATAGTTCATTGTAAGCATAACTTCAAGTTTAATTCAATTTAGCTCAATATCTTCAATCTAAAGACTGCATTCTTGAGCTTTTTGTATTTTCTCATTCAGACAAGCCTATCATCACAGCGATAACCATTGCACCAAAGACAGCTAAAGTTGGTGAATTGGTAAACATCACGTGCGAATTTGATGGTCTTCCTGAACCAAATATAAAAATAAAAAAAAGTGGTAGCGATGTTGTCTTCACAAACAAGATGCATACTATTAAAGATGTGAAAAAGGATGATGCTGGAATATACGTTTGTGTTGCAACGAATTCTATTGGAAGTGATTCAAAATCTGCTACTTTGATGGTAACAGGTAAAATATTTTGGTGCATGTAGGAGTTCTCTTCCATTCATCACTTTTATATTTTACGGAGAAGCAACTCGTTATAGTAAAGTATTTTTTGTTTCCCTATGTTAGTTCTGCTATTTTTTTCCAGCGCCAACCACAACCCCAACTACAGCATCAGCATATCGTCCAAGAACAGAATGGAACATCGCTTTGCTGTCATTGGTGGCAGTGGGATTATTCTCGTACTCTTAATTGTATCTTCTATAACTGTAATATACCGCAGTGTACCGTAATATATCTCAGTGTACCCTGTTCGTTATATATGGCGGTGTGTCTATAATAATTTGTTTTGAAAAAGAGATATAGGTAATAGGTATAAAATATATAATATACATGAAACCTTGAAAGTTCTCTATATAGCCTATAAGAAATATATCAGTTAATAAACTTAGAAATATAAAACGAAGCACTCAGTGGTCAAGCATCATCACTCATTCCCTTGGAATACTACATGCGTGCTGTTTTGAACAGCGCCTTCGTACTTTTTCACGCGAAGAAAACTAGAAAGAAAAATACATGAACTTCTGGTAACCAGCGTTGCAACAGCGATTAGCTCACGATTCCGATATTTTCATCTCCGGCTGTGTTGATTTATTTTCTACAATATAACCATGCTTTGGTTATGATGTCAAATATTTTGATACGGATAACCACGCTGTTTTAATGGTCAAATGCTTGTCCTATGTAAAGTTTTCAGCATATTTGGCGCTCATACAAACATTAAACAATATAACCATGCTTTGGTTATGATGTCAAATATTTTGACATGGATAACCACGCTGTTTTAATGGTCAAATGCTTCTCCTATGTAAAGTTTCCAGCATGTTCGGCGTTCATATACAGACATTAAACAATATAACCATGCTTTGGTTATGATGTCAAATATTTTGACATGGATAACCACGCTGTTTTAATGGTCAAATGCTTGTCCAATGTAAAGTTTCCAGCATGTTTGGCGTTCATATACAAACATTAAACAATATAACCATGCTTTGGTTATGATGTCAAATATTTTGACATCTGATAACCACGCTGTTTTAATGGTCTAATGCTTGTCCAATGTAAAGCCGGTTTCCAGCATGTTTGGACTCACTTTGGCGCTTGTATTGCTTGTAAATTTTAGCTTGTAAATTTGAGCTAACTAAAAAATATTCAAAATTAAAGACTAATTACGGAAAAATTATTGGTGGGGCTAAAGCCCAGTATGATGCGAACAAACTAACAATCATATTTCTCACACTTCAATAACGACATTCACACCATATCTTTGAATGACACATTGACGGCCATTTAAAAATATGGCGGTCGACCACACCGCAATCGAGTTGTTTGCATGGACTGCGTACTAACTACATTTAATACAAATGATTTTAATATTGAAAGTGAAAGAAGATTTAATACCTATCATATAGGGATAAACGAAAACTGATAAATATTATCCGTTTGTTGGATCACACAGGAGCATACTACTTCAGGTATTGTTATTCTCGAATATCGCATATCTATCGAATACAGACTATACTTGTTAGTTGTTTATATGATGATTAGTATTATGCTATCGACTATATCCATGTCATCGAGCCTATGTTTATAATGACATATCAGTGTATCAGCATATTTCATGCCCTGTTTTAACTGGCAATTCACTGGCTATTGTAACTAACGAATATTCTAACACAAGTTCAGACTAAAGATCATAATTGGACAGTTGGCAAATCTTACTTTATATTTTCTCAATGGGGCCAGTTTATTATAGACTACGGTCGTCATGCAAACGAGACTCTGCTCGTCATGCAAACGTGATTTTCAGTCTATCAGATGACATTATACGCTCGCTATTAAAATATATCTCAATAACATTTATGCCATATATTTGCCCAACCGGGCATATACCGACAGATAAAGGTACTGACACTGCTTCTCAAATATTATAAAGAGTAGCCTTCAGACGCCATTTTTAATGCTTGACAAAGATATCGATCCCGTGATTAAATAAACCGAAATTAAACTGCAACGATGGCAATGCAATATTGCGACGAGAACTCAGAACTCAGCTAGAATTTCAGTGGGAATTATCGTAAAGCAGGCAGTGAAATATGATCTGATCTATATCGCAAGTACAAATTAGGCGTGTCAGAATTGTCGAAGAAAGATTTCGAAAATGTTTGGAGTAGTGATAAAAACGTTTTATTACATTAATCATTATTATTATAATTATATATCATTGCATTTTCATCTTCATCTTCAGATCAAAGGCTTACAAAATGGCAAACTTCATCTTTGGTATAACTGGGTTATTCGTTCTTAATTTTCTATCAGCCTCAAGCGAAGGTATAAAACGTTAGATATCATATATATTTATGGTTATTTACTTAAACCATTCACATTTCGTAAAAAGTTGATCGAATACGCTGCCACACGGCTCCTCAATTATTTGGAAATGTATCCCTTAACCCCCCAGCCAGTATAGTACGAATGTATCCCCAGAATCCCCCAGTATTGTACGAATGTATCCCACAACCCCCAGTATTATACGAATGTATCCCCACAACCCCCCAGTATAGTACAAAACCTACAAAACCTGCTTTCAATAGGAGCACAAATACGTCTACCACCTGTTGGCAACAGGCTGATTTTCGTAAAGAGATCAACGGCCAAACTGGAGTGGTCGTTCAACGACAATGTGACGAACGTGCGTTTTCGGTCTTGGTCGTTTACTAGCGGTGAGGGCTCGAAGAAGGCCGTACAACTAGCGAGAATAATTGATGACGGTACCGTCGAGAACAGAAGCAACGCGCTCGACTTCAAAATAGAAAAGCCAGCGACTTTAGTTTTGAATAACGTCAGTCAGATTCAAAATGGAACGTACAAATTTACACTCGTAACATCTGATGGATGCGGTCAGTCTGATGTTGTAGTTCTTATTGCAGGTAAACAGGTGGTTTTTAGTTTTCTAGAATCTAGTTATGTGTGAATTACCCTTATCCATTGATGTGTTCCATGCGGGTACTGAAGCATTCCAATTCTAACAATAGACTGTTTTAATTTTCTCTTGGACAACCAGTTGCACGATTTTGTTATACGTTTTAGTGAAGCCAGCAGTGACTGTCAGCTGTTCCAGCCCGTTCATTGTAAAAGAAGGTGATCATTTCACGTGTGTTTGTACGGAACAAGGCAGCAATCCTCCAGCCACTGTGACTTGGTATAAGAACAACAGAAGTATTAGTGAGCAAGGAAAGGAAAGACAAGCTTTGAGCTTTCGTAATGTTATGAGAAAGGACACCGGAACGTACGAATGTGTGGCCAAAAGTCACTTCATTGACAGAAAATCAATCGAAATAATAGTTCATTGTAAGCATAAATTCAAGTTTAATTTAACTTAGCTCAATATCCTCAATCTAAAGACTGCATTCTCGGACTTTTTGTATTTTCTCATTCAGACAAGCCTTTCATCACAGCGATAACTATCGCACCAAAGACAGTTGGGATTGGTGGAACGGTAAACATCACGTGCGAATTCGATGGTCTTCCTGAACCAAATATAAAAATAGAAAAAAGTGGAAGCGATACTGTCTTCAGAAGCAAGATGCATACTATTGAAGATGTGAAAAAGGATGATGCTGGAACATACGTTTGTGTTGCAAATAATTCGATTGGAAGTGATTCAAAATCTGCTACTTTGATTGTAACAGGTAAAATACTTTGGAAGTGCATGTACGAGTTCTCTTCAATTCATAACTTTTGTATTTTACGGAAAAGCAACTCAGTCTGAAGTTGTAGTTCTTATTGCAGGTAAACAGGTGGTTTTTAGATTTCTAGAATCTAGGCATGTGCGAATTACCCTTATCCATCGATGTGTTCCTTGCGGGGTACTGAAGCATTCCAATTATAACAATAGACTATTTTAATTTCTCTTCCACCAGTTGCACGATTTTTTTACGTTTCAGTGAAGCCAACGGTGACTGTCAGCTGTTCCAGCCCGGTCATTGCGAAAGAAGGTGATAATTTCACGTGTGTTTGTACGGAACAAGGCAGCAATCCTCCAGCTACTGTGGCTTGGTATAAAGATGGCAAACAGATAAGTGACCAACGGGAGGAAAGACAAACATTGAGTATCAGTAATATTGAAAAAAAGGACAGTGGAAGGTACAAATGTGAAGCCAAAAACCTCGTCAGTGATGAAGAAGAATCCATAGAAATAATAGTTCATTGTAAGCATAACTTCAAGTTTAATTTAACTTAGCTCAATATCCTCAATCTAAAGACTGCATTCTCGGACTTTTTGTATTTTCGCATTCAGACAAGCCTATCATCACAGCGATAACCATCGCACCAAACACAGCTAAAGTTGGTGAAACGGTAAAAATCACGTGCGAATTTGATGGTCTTCCTAAACCAGGAATAAAAATAGAAAAACGTGGTAGCAATAGCAGCATCGCAGACAGCAAGATGCACACTATTCAAGATGTGAAAAAGGATGATGCTGGAACATACGTTTGTGTTGCAAAGAATTCTATTGGAAGTGATTCAAAATCTGATATTTTGAGTGTAACAGGTAAAATACTTTGGAAGTGCATGTACGAGTTCTCTTCCATTCATCACTTTTATCAGTATTCTACGGAAAAGCAACTCGTTATAGTAAAGTATTTTTTGTTTCCCTACTGTTAGTTCTGCTAACCACACAACTTTTTTTCATGCAGAGCCAACCACTGGGCCCACAGGCACTAATCATACATCTAAAAAATCATCAGCATGTGCTCTAAAAACGGGATGGAAAATCGCTTTGTTGTCATTGGTAACAGCGGGATTATTCCAGTACTCTTAATTGTATTTTCTAAAATCTAAAAGTATAAACATGCAGTGTACCATGTTCGAGTATATATGGTGATGTGTAGTCATGTAGTATGTATAGGTGTAAAATATATAATATCTATACATGAAACCAAGCATGGCTTATAAGAAAATATTAGTTAGTAAATTTAAAAATATATAGCGAAGCATTCAGTCATTATCCGTATCACTGACCTATTCTAGTCTAATCTGTGATTACTGCTAGTACTATAGAAGTTGTAATTTTCTGCGTGGCAAGGTGGTCCTAAAGTCTTGATATCTTACTTCCACCAACTTTGCAATACTAACCCACTGTCCTTATTATGGGTTGATGAAATTTCGATTTTGATTGACGATGAGTTACTACAGCCTCGTATGAAGAATATATATCAACAAAGCCGGACATGAAAATATCGGAATCATGAGCCAATCGCTGTTGCAACTCTGGTTACCAGAAGTTCATGTATTTCTCTTTCTAGTTTTCTCCACGTGAAATAAGTACGAAAATAATCACAGTTCAAAACAGCATGCGTGACGTATTCCAAGGGAATATTGACCATTCTTTATATTAATATAGAACACTGACCTATATTAGAAAATTTGCTTCTAGATAGATCACTGACCTGCATAGTGATGTGCGTTCAGAATGTGTTGATTTCGGTTAACGATCATTAACAAAAATGTTAACATTATGACGTCACAGGCTCACAGCGTATGTGATTCAAAAGATTAATTTAAGTAATGAGTAATTTAACAGTGATGGCTCATATGCTTTAATTAACAACAAAATGTCAAAATAAAGCGAGCACATGGTCTCCAGTTACTATGACGACACATCAGAACGAGGCAAATCTGACATCGCAAATCTCGATATGACACGGCTAGGAAGCATTCTCGTCCGTCGAACGCAATAAGTTAGCACCTATTAATTACCAGTTACCTTACGACACCAACCATGCAGAATACATCCACATATATTACAAACTATCACATGACAGAATTCATGCTGGCTTCTGTAATGTTTAAGCCGGAAGGAAGGATTAATATCGACAAATTAAATATCCAAGGCGAGAATACTAGGATATATTAACAGGAGATTTTCTCTGATTTCTGTATGGAACTGTGGTAACGCCTTACAGAAATACCAATATACGCGACTATCTTGATGTTAAACATCAAAAGTGTCTATATGTGACTGAATTTGCAGGCGAAATTTAGCAATATAGAGAGGTGTGTATTTTGCCAGCGTTGGGGATTGTATTCAATATTATGTTTCTTGATCATTACATCATTACATGTTTAAATTGCATGTCCTATACTTAGTCTTAGGTTTGGATTTAGAACAGTGTAAACCGGCCAACCGAATTATACTTTTGTCTGTGTAGGTTTCTCAAGACTGGTGTCCACTTATTAAGATGAGTAGATTTGCTCTCATATATGGTGCTTTATCTTGTCTTCACTTTAGCTTGCATCACTGCCAAGGTACCGCGAGTTCACCAATTTGGTTCAATATGTTTCATAATATAATTTTATATGCATGCATGTAGTGGCGGAATTATGGTTATAAGGAATATGTTTATATCATTCCCTCTGTATTATTTAAAGCGATTCAATTGACCTGTATTATATATGAAATTTAGACTTTTCTAATCATAGTTTTGCAGGAAACGGTTTGGCTCAAACATGTTTTACGTCATTTGTATAGGACGACTCAGCCTGCCACCAGGTGGAAAAACGTTGACTTTTTTTCCCGGTGCAATGAATGCCAGGATTGAGTGGTCGCTAACTGGTACTATAGTATTTGGGGATACTCGATATTGGACTTTCATAAGCAGGAATGGCTCCATAAACGTTATTGCAAGGGTAGTTGATGACAATGAGCCCGAATATTTTGCAAGAAATTTGCTCACGGTCGAAATAGAGAAACCAGCGACTTTGATTTTAAACAACGTAAATGACAGTTATAACGGTGTTTACCGGTTTGAAATGTGGCCACGAATTGGTTTCAATATTAAATCTGATGTAACAGTCTATGTCGCAAGTAAGTTTTCATCACATATATTATAGTGTAATAATTACATTGATTTCCTAAATATTTTAATTACATTTTGTGTATTGGTTGAAAAGATATTGCGGAACAGTCTCTGCATGTTGCATTCTTTCGTTAGAACTCCAAAATGACAGGTGCAAACACTACGGCATATTGCTTTTTTCTACGTTTCAGAAAAGCCAACAGTAACGTTCAATTGCTCTAATGTCACGACGCTAAAAGAGGGTGATGACTTCAGTTGCATATGTAAAGGTGAAGATGGGAATCCACCTGCTAACGTTAGCTGGTTTAAAGATGACAAGAGAAAGATTGGTGAAACAGGGAAAAAAGAACAATTATTGACTCTTTTTAGCGTCGACAAAGCAAACAGCGGAACGTACAAGTGTCTAGCTGAAAGCTACCCAGAAAAAAGTTATAAAGATGAAAAAATAATAAGAATAATAGTTAATTGTATGATAGCAATAATTTCTTAATAATAGGTTATAATAGGTCTAATGGGTTATTGAGCAACCGTCCAACACATACAAGAAAACTTCTAGACATTTTGGTTTAAGACCCTTAGAATCTCTTTACTTACGGAAGGTAGGGGGGGAGTATATACCATACCGGACTCATTACAAGGTGAGAAGTAGGGGAGGGAGGGGTGGGGTAGGCATGAAGTTTATGATTGGCATGAAATTTCATGATTGGCAATTTTTTTAAGATCCGTGCAGATCTTCCCACATCCAGTTTTTTTTTGCTTTCTAGTTCGACCTCAAAAGATAAACGTTACATTTTCACAAGGAAAAGCTAAAATTGGCGAACCAATAAACATAACATGTGAGTCAGAAGGTGTTCCTGAACCACGTTTTACCATAACTCACAATAACACCGAGGTTATTGCTGGTAAGACGTACAACATACCACAAGTGAAGTGGAGCGACGGTGGATTATACGAATGTATTGCGAAGAGTGAATTTGGAATTGACTCAAAGTGCCATTGTTTGACCGTTCTAGGTAAGATTAGTTTAGTCTGAACTACTCTTGATCCACGATTTCTGCAATGTTTGAGCTAGACGCATAAAGTTTGCACCAGATGTGTTACTACGTAATTGCTTTTTACACTTCCTTGTTTGACTTTGATGGAAGTTTGAATATTCTTTTAGGTATTTTTCCAACCAATAAATTATTAACCTCAATGTGTTTTTTCAGGAGAGGCCTCGTCTTCTAGGAAAGTAGACCGTGATGTTGCCGATAATATTGTAGTATGGCATATCGTTGTTTCACTGATATTGGGCATCGTCATTGGATGTCTTCTTTCCTACATCGTCTCATGTTCTCGTCGTAAATTTACAAGTAAAAAGCCACGACAAGCAAACCCTGAACCCTCAAAAGCTGAGGTTGATAAAACTTATCAAGAACTTGACCTCAAAAATATGAGTAAAGAAGAAAATTACCAGTCATTGACTGTGAATCAGGCTGCAAAAAATGACAATAGAAACGAAGATGGCTCCAATTATACAGAGCTTAGCCAAAACAGAGAAGCGGAGAAAACCTATCAGTCTTTAACTTGAAGCTGGAATATTTCATTATTTTTAATTAATACTGGCTGCTTCTTTGCTTTATTGTGAAATATCCAAAGAATTTACAAATATATAAGGATCAGGGAATCCTTTTTTCTGACAACATCGAGCTATAACATAACTCGATGACCAAAAAAGATATCTTTTAGCACCTATTATTTACCAGTTACCTCCAAGACACCAACCATGCAGAATACATCCATAAATTACAAACTATCACATGACAGAATTCATGCTGGCTTCTGTAATGTTTAAGCCGGAAGAAAGGATTAATATCGACAAATTAAATATCCAAGGCGAGAATACTAGGATTATTAACAGGAAATTTTCTCTGATTTTTGTATGAAACTGTGGTAACGCCTTTTACTGAAATACCAGAAATGAATATGCGATTAACGACAGCATACGACTTTCTTGTGGTAAGTGTAGAATAATATATTAAAGTGTGCAACAAAATACACTGTAGAACCATAATATCACAAATGTCTATAATAGTCTATATGTGACTGAATTTGCCGGCGAAATTTGTCAATATTAGACAGGTGTGTTTGGTCGTTTGAAAAAATTATTTGTGTTAAATGTTCTCATATATAACATCGTGCATTTCCGTTTGGTCCTATAAGAGCAATTTTCCTGTTTAGAAACAACATTGCTGTTTACATGAACCCGGTTACCCGAGATTCAACGAAGCGTGAGAGGACTTTGAGGTATTGAAATGAGCAGATAACATGATCCTGGCAGCACCACAACAATAGGATGTGCTTGTTTGGTGTCATTAAGACTTATTTCAATGCCTCAAAGTCCTCTCACGCTTCGTTGAATCTCGGGTAACCTGGCTCATGTAAACAGCCCCTAAGTCTGTATGCATGTGGACCGCACCTCCGGATGTGGCAGTTGCAAGAAACATTTGTATCTAGGGTTAGTTGAGCAAATTTTTATCGAATCCTACCAAATAATAATATTATAATAATATTTGATGAAAATTCTCTTACATAGGTTGTATCTTCAAAAATGAGTGATTTCGCATTTCTTTCTATGATTTGTCTTGCTTTTATGCTTTCCCAATGCGAAGGTAGGTAGTAGCTATGTGTGTATGATGTAGTATGTGAAAGTATCCTTCCTCGCAGCACATCCCTCGTGTGAGGCATTAGTGAGTTTAAGATGCGCTTAATTTAGCGGACGTGATGAGGTAATACTGCTCTAATTTCCACTGTTTCCCAGCAGGGATGGAAATTATAGACTCCTTTTGATAAACAAAGCCAGAGCCGTGTGTAAAAAAAGTAATACTAGCTTCCTCACACTAGTTGGAGCTCAGTTTCATGTCACGTCCGCGTTGTAGATTTGCTGCATCTTAAACTCGCTATTATTATGGCGCCACTGAGGGGGGTCCCTTATTGGTAGAATCGTCATTGTTCACATGCCGGTGTTTTTGCTGATGGCGTGAGTCTGATCTACTAGCCTGTCAACTATACATGGCTTTCTTAATCTTAGGGAAGATCTTTCCGCCACCTGAAGGGACTGAAATAACATTTTTACCTGGAACAGATGGGAAAATACGGTGGTCATTTGATGACGAACTGTCTTCTGGCAGTTTTCGTGGTTGGTATCGACGAAAAACCTTAGATGAAAAAGCAAAGTTACTTGCACAAATCATCGATGATGATTCAGTGCCAAGTTTCCTCGCACCTGGCTACGCAATAGAAGGAAACGCAACACTGGTGATAAAAAATGTTAATGAAAGTCATAATGGAATATATCAGTTTTTCCTTGGCCCCCATCATCCATCTAATGTTGTAGTTTTTGTCGCAAGTAAGTCTTTAAGTAAAACTTAACAACGGAAGAAAATCGTACGAATTGTTACAAAAAACTTTTCTTTACGACAAATTACGAATACACTAATCAGCTGTATCGGTCCGACAAATCGTTTATTGTAAAGATGTGTCTCGACTGACTATAACGAATAAAATGATGATGCATGTAATTACTCTGTAAACAGTAGTGAGGAAGGCATGTTTCTGCACATCTGTCTGTGAAGTGCTACAACCATAGACAAATGATTGCATCGTCAAGATGATTTGCTAGCGTCCTGTATATATTTAGGCAAACCAGCAGTAACAGTCAATTGTTCCAGTTCCATCGCAGCAATTGAGGGTGATAATATCACATGTATCTGCCAGGCCAGAGATGGTAATCCTCCAGCTAACGTGACATGGTATAAAGATGGCGTCAAGATCACTGAATCGGAAAAAAATAGACAAATATTAAATCTAAACGATGTCGATAAAAAAGATAGTGGAATATACAAATGTATAGCCCGAAGCTACACCTTAGCAGACGAAAAATCAATTGAAGTAATGGTATATTGTAAGTGAAAGAAAACTTGTTAATAAGGAATATTTATCTGTTCATATATGATTTAAAAAGTTTGTTTCATTACAGACCCAGTCTCACCTGCTATTTTAAGTCTTACGACCACCCCAGAAGATGTTGTAATTGGTGAATCAGTTGTAATAACATGCGAAGCTATAGCTGTTCCCTTACCAAGTTATACAATAATCCATAATGATACTAAAGTCGTCAGTAATCGCAAGACGTATATTATAACGCTTTTGAAATACAACGATGCTGGCTCATATGAATGTATTGCTACAAATCAACTTGGAAAAAGTTCAAAGACTTTTAATTTGTCTGTCGTCGGTAAGATTCATGATAAAATTACGCGTATATGATTTCTTCCGTTAGTTTATTCGATAAAGAAGAATGTACAATGTCATTTCTATTCCAGAAATACGAAAAACGAATACCCCAAGTTCGAAAGGTGTCGGAACAGGTAATTGTTGGTTATCATGCATTAATTCACACAGATTGGTTCATTATCTTTTGGAAAAATACCAGATGACATTGGATACTGAAATTTGTTTAATATTATAATCAGTGGAATCGTGGTTGTTGTGAACATGCACTTCTAATTTCTTGCAGACAAACCAGAATTACAGGAATCCCAGAATTGCCAAAGTGGAACTGAATGGTACATCGTTTTGGTATCATCCGTGACCACATTCATCATAGGAATTCTCATTTCTTGCACTGTTTTTTACTTTCGTTGTAAATTCAGAAGTAGGAAGCCTCAACCAAACCGTGAAAGTCCAAAATCTCAAGTTGATAAAACTTATCAGGAATTAGATCTTACAAAAATGAACACAGGAGAGAATTATCAGACATTGACAGCGGTTCACGGCGCTGCAGCAAGTAATGAAAGTGTAAGAGAAGATGACTCAACTTACACTGAGCTGAGTAAAACCAGAGATATAGAGGAAAACTATCAATCTTTGACTTGAACATTGGAAAAGAAATCCTAGCTGTCAAAGCTGTTGATCTGCGACGTAACTCGCTGTTTCACATAAAATCTCTTAGACAAAATTTGTAATCGTCCTTCTCAAGACGAACAAACCCACACCCAATAGTCGATTTACCATTGGATATAGCCCCCAGAATTGAGAAACATTTTTATCTTGGCTGTAGATAATGTCAACCTCATACCAGGGTTTTTTATCTTGATATAATGTTTGATAATTTACAAAACACACAAAATATATTTGCGTTACGGATGGTAGCGATTCAGTTTTACAAGTTATAATTTTAAAACTACGCTTCATATTTCGCATTTTGTTTACAAAGATTTTACAAGTATATACTGTATATATATACTCAAAAAGTACAGGGCTTAATAAAGCTTGTTTCATGCAGAACCTGATGTTGATGAACTAAAATATTTGTATTTGCATTCGACTCGGCACATGAAAAGTTCGAAGTCTGAGACTGAAACCCTATACTATAACAAAGGCGGAATAACTATATTTGGTTTATTGACAAGGTCGAAATTTTCTAATCCAATATACTTTGGACAAATGGAACATAGTCTGTTGATACGTAAAAGCATTACGTCATTTGCTATTGCTCATTTGCTGTGTTTACTACAAAACATCCATCAAACGTTTTCTGGCGACATTGGATCGTTTGAGAAGACCTTCATAAAAAATCGGAATCACTTTCAATGTGAACACTGTAAAATATAGTATAATCGTAATTCGAATGTATAAGTACTTAATTACAGATATTCCCAACCATACCAAGCCCATAACATATATTTACATACATGCTATCACGTGACAAGAAAGTTCCGCAGCTTCTTAAATTAAAGCCGGAAGAAACGATTCGTAATCGAGGGAGAGAAACATCCAAAGAAACATTTGCGGCATGAAAAGAAATATATTTTATGTTATAGAAACAGAATAATTTACCGGATGCATATTTGACTTGATAGTAGCGTGGTACGTCAAATTTGGTTTTCAGATCTATATTTTCAAGTTGGGAAACCAGCATGTTGGCTTGTTTGGAAATGAGGGGTAAACTACAATGCGATTAAAATACCAGCAACATTTGCGCATGACATAACTATAGTTTAATAGCTGCGACTGAATTTGTGATTCAAATTGTCTAAAGGTTTATGCATTTCATGCAATATCGTTTGGGATTGTATTTATCTATTTGTTTCACGTGCTAAGTTAATACCTTCGTGTTTAAATCGTGCTAGTTCGGTGCTAGGTGCAGAAAGCCGCATACAACAACTCATATCAATATTGATCTTGTCTATACACGTTTGTCATCGTCTGTGTAGGTTTGTCCGGACGTCCGTTCATTAAGATGCCGAGTATGTTTGCTCTCATATATGGTGCTATATCTTATCTACCCTTCATCTTTTACCAATGCGAAGGTAAGCCCCGTAATGTGTTCAGCATGTTTTATAATAACACAGTGCAGTAACATGCAGAGCCCTGATCTAGTGACCTTTGACTATTGTCAGCGCTGTTTATACTTGAGACGAATCATACATCCGGATAAACTTTGACACAGAGGAGATAGCTTCGCCATTCATATGTTACGATAACGCACGACCTTCAACTTCATTTCTTCTTCAAAACTTCGACTTTATTATAAGACGAGCTATATGAGCCTCGCCTGAACTGACTAGCCATTAGCATTGCCTAATTTGTTTACTTTAGGAAAAATCACTTCGCCTCCTGATGGGACGCAATATACATTCTTACCTGGAACAACGAACAACATATCATGGACATTTGACGATGATCCATCTGCATGGGTCTTGCATTGGTATTTTAGACCTAACCAGACCTCGAAACCAGAGCCGTTTGCGGTTATATCGTTTGATATTAAGCTTTCAACAAGAGAGGATGTCATACCCAGTTTTAGCATTATAAAACCAGCAACATTGGTTCTGTACAACGTAAATAAAAGCTACGAGGGATTCTACAAGTTTTTGGTTAAAAGCTCTATATATTCTGAAGTCAGGGTTTTCATTGCAGGCAGGGATCATGCATTTCATAACATTTAACATAGTATATAGTTTCTGTCTTAGTTCTCCGTTTACATGACCGTTTACCGCTGAAAGCCAAATTATACTAATTAATATCGTATAGATCTACTGATTTGCTTGCGTTCAATACATTTTAGAAAAGCCAGCAGTAACGCTCAGTTGTTCCAGCCCAATCGTAACAATTGAGGGTGATAATATCACATGTATCTGCCAGGGAAAAGGTGGTAATCCTCCAGCTAACGTGACGTGGTATAAAGATGGTGTCCAGATCGCTGAATCGGAAAAAAATAGACAAATATTAAATCTAAACAATGTCGTTAAAGAAGACAGTGCAATATACAAGTGTATAGCCCGAAGCTACACCTTAGCAGACGAAAAATCAATTGAAGTAATGGTATATTGTAAGTGAAAGAAAACTTGCTAATAAGGAATATGCATCTGTTCATATAGTTTAACTGAAAACTTGTTTCATTACAGACCCAGTTTCACCTGCAGTTATAAGTCTTACGACCACCCCAGAAGATGTTGTAATTGGTGAATCAGTTGTAATAACATGCGAAGCTATAGCTGTTCCCTTACCAAGTTATACAATAATCCATAATGATACTAAAGTCGTCAGTACTCGCAAGACGTATATTATAACGCTTTTGAAATACAACGATGCTGGCTCATATGAATGCATTGCTACAAATCAACTTGGTAAAAGTTCAAAGACTTTTAATTTGTCTGTCGTCGGTAAGATTCATGATGAAATTACACGTATATGATTCCTTTCGTTAGTTTATTTGATGAAGAAGAATGTACAATGTCATTTCTATTCCAGAAATACGAAAAACGAATACCCCAAGTTCGAAAGGTGTCGGAACAGGTAATTGTTGGTTATCATGCATTAATTCACACAGATTGGTTCATTATCTTTTGGAAAAATACCAGATGACATTGGATACTGAAATTTGTTTAATATTATAATCAGTGGAATCGTGGTTGTTGTGAACATGCACTTCTAATTTCTTGCAGAGAAGCCAGAATTACAGGAATCCCAGAATTGCAAAAGTGGAACTGAATGGTACATCGTTTTGATATCATCGTTGACCACATTCATCATCGGAATTCTCATTTCCTGCACTGTTTTTTACTTTCGTTGTAAATTCGGAAGTAGGAAGCCTCAACCAAACCGTGAGAGTTTAAAATCTCAAGTTGATAAAACTTATCAGGAATTAGATCTTACAAAAATGAGCACAGGAGATAATTATCAGACATTGACAGCGGTTCCCGGCGCTGCAGCAAGTAATGAAAGTGTAAGAGAAGATGACTCAACTTACACTGAGCTGAGTAAAACCAGAGATATAGAGGAAAACTATCAATCTTTGACTTGAACTTTGGAAAGAAATCCCACGAGGGCTGCTCTTATGTAACTGGCTGTCTCACATGCAAAATCTGTCAAACAAAAACATGAGAATGCACTCTTTAAGACGAACAATTTATGCATCAATAATCTACGTATACAAATTACAAAACACCAAAAATATTTGCAGCGCGCGGCTTGTACTATTAAATTTTTACAAGTTATGAAATGTTAAATATAGCGTTTCATGTGTTCCAATTGGATTTCAATGGTTTTATCAGTATCCTTAAAAAAGGTTCCTTTCAAATAAAACATTTGTTGGAATTTTAAATGTCTTGCTATGTATGCTTTTGGTCTTTTGGACACCTTGTGCAGCTTGGGGATGACAAAACTTCACCTTGTTAATTGCTAACGTCAAGTCGCGGTGATTTAAACTCTGTAGTGCTGAGCAACCTTACACTACTCGCCAACTGCACCATATACTTAATTAACCTGCCATGCATGGAGAACGGATGCATGTACCTTAGTCAAATTGGATCAGTGTTTTTGTGTTACAGGAGGCAGATAACTACATACCCTGTCGACTAGTGAGTGGAGCAACGAACAGTTATAATTTGTAAAGAGTTGAAGTTAATAAGTTCAAGCGCCTACCAGGTATTTAATCCATGGCAATTATTGCTACTCTGGTTTTAAATAATGAAAATAATCATCGCCCAAAGATTACATTAACGACCCAACATTTCGATACGCCGGGTCTGGTGTCTTCGTCAAAGGCAAAGCTAGAGGTGTTCATATGTTGAAACGCTAATATATATATATATATATATATATATATATATATATATATATATATATATATAATTATATATATATATATATATATATACTCTCAACATGACGTCATCTGCCAATGAGATGTAAATATTATTTGGGAAAGTATATAACTTTTGTAATCTCTGTATAGGGCACAAGGACTCGATATATGCCAGGCTTCAAGTTCATACTGAACGGCAATTAGTGGTATAAAGTCTAATAAAGACCTGATATACTCCCAACCTCGATATCAATGCAGACTGCAGTGATTGCGATCCAGGCTCCTCTCATGAAACTTGTATTCTACAGTAAATCTTCACCAAAGAGCATGGAATGACGTTTCTAATATCCTCGGCCCTAATATATCATTTCATCCGGATCAATGGTCCGGAGCACTTCACATCTTTACAGTGTTGTTTGCATGTAAATAGCGGTCTGCGCGGTCGCGTGTATTTTCTCCTGAAACAAAATGGGAATTTCTGGAAGTTCGATATATTGAGTAATATAAAACCACACGAGACAGACGCTTGTTGGTTTCATATTTCATTCATATCATCAATATGTGTAGAAACACAATATATTGAAGGCGGATGAACTTTAATAAGCATTCAGATCGCTGACACTGTGACACAATAAATGCGCGGCGGACTTTATCAGGTACATCTATAGCAGTAAATACGTTATTAGTCTTCCCGAAAATTAGAATTAAAGCTTATATGAGCAAATGGCAAATATAAGCATGTCAGATATTGTAAGGGATTGACCTCAGCAGCTATAGAAGTCGAAGC